GGTCCAAACTGGGAGCAACCCACCACTGATGTAGCATGATGATTTTACATAGCTGAAGAGAAACCAACCCTAACCGTCTCCTTACCTGCTGCCCTTTCTGATTCAAGCTAACAAAGCCCAGGAAGCAGAGGCCTATTTGCAATAACATCTCTTTATTACAAAACCTTCCTAGAATTGTTCTGTTTTATTATTTCAGCACTCTGCAATCCAGTTAATTGAAGACTGAAAGATAAGCTTCTAATGCCATCCATTTAATGTTAATTGTGGGCATTAAATATCAAGGCTGTGGGAGTGGAGAGAATGAGAAGATGGAAAATACATTTTCTATTGTATGTCAGATTGTTATTCCCATTAATGCTTATGGAACCACATGAGCACACAGAGGAGACAAATGTTTGTGTACTTTGCATTAGTACAGCTCTCCTGATACAATTTTTCATCTCCTAAACTAAACACCTCAGCAATCACTGTGGATTTTCACATTTTTGGGAAGTGCATTGCCAGGCGATTAGAGCAGATTGTTTATCATTTTCTAATGTCATTGCTCTTGCCATTTTCTATTATTATACTCGTTGTTTGGAATATCTAAATTAAGCAAAAGGAATTGTTTTAAGGGCTTTGAAATTGAATGCAAAATTTTGCTTTGAAGAACAGTTCACCTAGTACCTGTCTGCCAAAACTTTTTTTTAGGATAATACAGTTGTGTTATCTCAGGAAAAGACTCAGTTATTTTAAGGAGATATAAGATTAGATAGATAGATAGATAGATAGATAGATAGATAGATAGATAGATAGATAGATATAACAGATGGCTAGATAGATAGACAGATAGACAGACATAGACAGACTGAATGAGGGCTAGATAGATGACATATGTGTATATTTATATAGAGAGAGAATGCGGAACATATGGACTTTATATTATACACACACCGGCAGAGATTGTGTACACATATTGCTATAATCTTCATGCATATTTTAACACAAATGCAAACATGCGTTGTGTACCATAGTCACATTTACATAGCAAAATTTGGAATCTTGAAGAGTGCTAACTCTTCATATCTGCTCTCTTAGACATCTCAAACAGGAAATTTAACAACAGAAATCTTGGTTTTATACAATATTACAGAATTATACAGTATTTTCCTATCATATGTGTCTTTCCAATCTCATGCAGTGAAGTCCAAGAAAACTGGGCTGTTTAAGAGATAGGACAGCCATTTCTTTTTATTCACATTTACATTTTTTATTCACATTGACTTATTTGTCTTATATGTCTTCAAGAGTAGCAGCTCTTTCTAAGAGTTAAATTGAGCAAGAACTCCAATATAGTCTATTGGAGACTCCTTATTTGCAAAACTTAAAAAAATACAAAGGACAACTAAGATGATTAAGGGCCTGGAGACTAAAGCATATGAAGAACAATTGCAAGAATTGAATATGGCTAGTCTAGACAAAAGAAGGACTAGGGATGCTACAATAGCAGTGTTCCAATATTTGAAGAACTGCCACAAAGACAAGGGGGTCAACTTAGTTTCTGTAATACCAGAAGGCAAATTAAGAAACAATGGATGGAAACTAATCAAGGAGAGAAGCAACCTAGAGTTAAGGAGAAACTTCCTAACAGTGAGAACAATTAACCAATGGAACAGCTTGCCTTCAGAACTTGTGGGTGCTTCATCACCAGAGGTTTTTAAGAAGAGACTGAAGTGGTATTGGGTTTTGAGCAGTGGGTTGCTTGAGCAGTGGGTTGGATTATAAAACCTCCAAGTTCCCTTTCAATTCTATTCTGTAATTCTGTGAATTCAGGCTTAGTTTCCTTATTAGTCCTTTAAGTAGCCTGGAAAGAGGATATCATATCCAATGAGAGTCATAGGAATTGTGCATGAAAACTGTGGCATGAAAATACAACTTGTCCCTGCATGAAATGCCAGCCTGGTGCTTTAAGAAAAGCAATACTTATCACGAAAGTCCTAAATGAAATTTCAAAAGCTGGCATTAATGGCAACTGAATAACTTGCCTGTTCTCTCAAGTTGTTTTCCAGCACTCTCTGGAAATGTCCCCATATGGTTCAGTATATATTAGTACTGTTCTTGAGATAATCTAATTTGGTTAACACAGGGGAACATATGTTTCGCTTGCCACAAGCTTATTCTGGGCTCACTGTGGTTGTGAGTGGTTCCTGTGGATGATGATGACTTCCCCCTGGATACAGCTGAGCCCAGTTTCCCATGCCATTCTCAGAAGGACCAAGAATATATCTGATGACTTTGCTCTATCAACATGGTATCATTCCAGAGTTGACTGATTAGCTGCAGTGTGTGATAGTTATTTGCCAGAAAGCAATGAGGAATGAGGAGTGTTGGGGAGGGGGCAACGGAAAGGAAATTGGAAGGAAATTGCAGCCAGTAGCAAAATTCAATGTGAGGGGCATCCATGCTCACAAAGGAAGACAAATGCTGGCAGGGGAAGGAAAAAGAGAATTAAGGCAAGTCGAGTAATAACTTATTCATAGGTTTCTGCAGGAAACACAGTGAATATGTCGTCTGTGAAATAAAGCTGCTGTGCCTAAAATGCCTATTAGCAAATTCAGTCCATGTTGAACACCTGACCTCGGCTTTGCTCTTCTTGAAGATAAGGGGTTGGGGGAAGTCTTCATTAGCTCACAACATATTTAGTTGTGGTATTAGGTAGCAGTACTAATTCATATCTGAATCAATGCAGGCACTGTAGGTGAACGGGTACCTCACTGTTTTTTCTGAAATTGGCTGAGGTATTAAGAAGCACTTATTTATTGCATGATGAGAACATGATAGATAGAAGTAAACATATACCCATAATCCACATAATTATATACAAAACTTTTACAGGGGTATGACAGTGGCCTCATAATTAGATGTCCAATTCAGCTATCCAGGTGATTGCCTCTGGCATTGCTTCATGCAGATCTTCTAGAAAACCAGAGAATGTATGTCGTGGGCAATCTTGCACAATATTTTAATAGTTTGCAGATCAGCACCACTGTCACCACAAGGGGAATCTTTCCATCCCCACTGATATAGGACAGAGACACTTCTTCCACTATAACGTCTAATTTTGTTCAATTTGTCCAGACAGAGTGACTCAGGTCATAACCAGGTGACTTGGTAGAGGGATCACTAAGGATCAAGCCACAAGAAGGTACCCTGGACCATTCCTCTTTCCAGGCATTCTCGGGGTTAAACTGGTTGGATGTTAAATGAATAGCTATAATAAGAAGCATTAAAGATTAAAAATAAAGTGAAATATGTTATTATCAATGAGTTATGAATCCGTGCATCTAAAACGCCTAGCTCTAGAGCAAATGAACACACTGAAACATACATGGGAAGATAAAAGGACCTAATGACAATATTAATCTAAAAGAAAAAACTTGCTTATCAGCTAAAAAGTTCTGTAGGGACAGCATCCATCTGATCAACTGTAGGTAACCAGTTACTTCCGAGAATTTTCTATTTATATCCTGGGGTTTTCTTCTTTTTTTATTTATTGTTTCTTTTTTACACTGTACACTGCCCAGAGTCATATTGCTTAAGTTGGGGCAGCCTTATAATTAAAACTTCTTGAAACTAGCGTAGGCTTAAACAACATGCAAAAATTCACGCCTGAAATTTTGTGTGTGTGTGGGGAGGGGGGACAACAACAAGTGTTTCTTTTCACATAGTATTTTGTGTCCAAACAAATGAACTGTTATGGCTTAATGTAATGGTCTACTTCATACAAGAGAATGGCTGGGTTTGTAGAGCACACTGAAGCCAAATTAGATTAGATTGTAAAGTGGGGGGGGGGAATAAAAGGGGTGATAAAAGAAGGATTGCACCAATTTTAACACCAATTTTGTACTTTTTGTACAAACACAATATGCATACCAAGGGGGCAGAGTTTTCATTACAAAGATTGAAGTGCTTTTCATTAAATCCTCCCTTGACCCCTCTTGCACACATCTTAGTGGTTATGAGCAATCTGATGATGTTGAAGTAATAAGGGCTGCCATTAGATGAAATGTGGAACTCTATAGCATACAACTAGATTAGCAGTCTAGAGCTACTTTTCTGACTGTGGGGGCTGATTCAACACTCATTTGTAAAGATATCTCTTGAATTTTAGTGTTTAGTCCATTGTTCCCTGACACTCATCCCATAATCACTTCCCAGGTAATACTGCTATGTGTTCTATATAAACCTGTCCTTGAAAAGCACTCAGAAACTTCAGCTAGTGCAGGATGTGATGGCACATTCTATTTTGTATACTTCAAAGTTTTCCCTATTCTTAAGATAGGGAGAAAAAATATTTTTTTTATTTCCAGGATTCACCATTTTATTGTTTTGTTATTATCATTTCCTTCTTATTTGTTTAAAATATGTTCTAAACTTTTTTATGTGATACCTGGATTACATTTGTGTTTAGGCATATTGTAAATGCAATAGGTAACTAATAGTAAGTCTAGTAACTCTACTTAGTAACAATAGTAACTCTACTTACTAACAAAAATCATATTTCTGCTTCCAGTGCAATCTTGGAATATTTTTAGGCTGCTATTGAAAGCAAATCCCAACCAATTAAATGTGGCTAACATTTTGTTAAAATATATAAAACATTTAAGTCTGGTTTACATTAAAAAGTTGTGGGTTGTTTTTTTTCTTACTTTAGTCTGATTAACTACATTGAAGATAGGATAAAACATAACAAACATTTTAGGTACCAGGTGACATCATGTCCTCTTGTAATGGTCGAATGTCACTCTTACATTGTTTATCCAAATTAAAATTGCCAACGTTTGCCAAAATTATAACATCTCATGAGATTTTATTAACATCACTCCTGAATATTTCCGCATATCATTCTTATACTTAGATGGGAGTCATAGTAGCATAGATGGCAATATTGGCTTTGTGATTCCAAAATGGTTACATGGATACATCTAACACCTCTCTCTCTCTCTCTCTCTCTCTCCAAGATCTTGAAAACTTTGAAACTAAAGCAAGAAGTGCTGTATCAGTCAGAGAGGGACAAGGAGTCGTTCTATTCTGTGCATCTCCACCACACTATGGAGGTATATAAGACATTTTGCATTATATTCTTCAGTATTTGCCAGCATGAAGAATAGATGTGAAGAAAGTCCTATGAATTTTTATGTGTATAAGATTTGGGGGGGGAATCTCATTTAGTGCTTGAACGTACCTGCTATGATTTATGATAGCAATGGCTGGATCCTTTTCATTTTTTTCCCCCACATAGGTAGTTTATAGTGAAATTTGTAAATTTGAGTAAGTTTTTTTGGTATTATTTTTTAAACAAGAACTGAACAACATTTTCATCTTTCTGAACCAGTCAAATTCAGTAAGTATGGTCATTTCCACATTGTGAAGATGTACTGCATTTTTGTCCTGTTTATAAAGAGGCAAATTTTAATCAAGTATTTGTGAAAGCATAAATTGTGTTTTATTTGTGTTTGGAATCACAAATAACTCTCTCCAGTTCTTGATTTATGGTAGGATATAGGAAAATACTATTTTCTTTGCCTTCTGATCCATCCTATCCCCTATGCTGAGTAACAATAACTTAATACAACTATCTAGAGCAGGGGTGTCAAACTCAAGGCCCGGGAGCTGGATCCGGCCCATGGGATGCTTAGATCTGGCCCTGGAAACAGCAAAGGACTGGCCCATGGTGCCTCTGTCAGCAAAAACAGAGCTCAGGAGGGCTGCGTGTGGTCCTCCTGAGTTCTTTTTTTTCTGGTGGAGGGTTGCAGGAGGCCATCGCAGCCGAAAACAGAGCTCACGAGGGCCGCCCGCAGCTCTGCCAAGCTTCATTTTTGCTGGCAGGGAGTTGCAGGAGGCTGTCACAGCTGAAAATGGAGCTCAGGAGCCCATTTTTTGCTGGCAGAGTGCTTGGGCCACTATAGACACCCCCGTCACAAGTGACATCGAGCTGGCAACACCCTGGCCACATCCACCCTGTCCCCCCAAGGTCAAACACAACCCTGATGCAGCCCTCAGTAAAATAGAGTTTGACACCCCTGATCTAGAGCAAGCTGCATATAGATGCAATAATCAAGACTGCAGTAGAGACTTTTAGCAACTTATCATGGCCTTGGATAACACTGAATAAGAAACAGAAAAAAGAATTTTGTGGCAGCCTATTATGATCTATTACATATCATCACTGTACTTATACTATGATGAATTATACTTCTAATGTACAATTATCAAATAACAGATTAAAAAATGATCTTTGTTTCCATCTTCTTTTATTGCTCCATCGCAAGCAATTTTTCATAATTCTAACTGAACTGCATCGCTGATGCTTTCTAATTAATACGACATTTTGTTTTTATACTGAGTTGAAGTTCCTCATTTTTTCATACTTAGTTAAATTATTCAATGCATTTGGCAAATATGGATTATTTGAAATATGGCTTTCAAAAAGAGTAAGACCAAGCCTCACCTCTGGCTCTAAAAAGGTAAACTATTTCCAAACCTTGCTTCAATTATAGGAAAGAAGGCAGGAAGGTAGGTAGGTAGGTAGGTAGGTAGGAAGGAAGGAAGGAAGGAAGGAAGGAAGGAAGGAAGGAAGGAAGGAAGGAAAAGAGAAAGAGAAAGAGAAAGAGAAAGAGAAAGAGAGAGAAAGTGAGCAAAAAAGAGAGAAAGAAGGAAAGAAAGAAAGAAAGAAGGAAGGAAGGAAGGAAGGAAGGAAGGAAGGAAAGAAGAAAGAAAGAAAGAAAGAAAGAAAGAAAAAAGAAAGAAAGAAAGAAAGAAAGAAAGAAAGAAAGAAGGGAGAGGGGGCGGGAAGAGGAAAAGCCCAAAGCTCCCAAAATTTCAATCTGCCTTTAGTATCACAAATGCAGATGTATACCAAATGAATACTTAAAAATGAATTGGTAGCAGGGGTGGGTTCTACTTACCTTTACTACCGGTTCACAACGGGAAGCTTCTAAACATGCGCAGATCACGTCTCATGACATCAAGGTCAGTGGGCGGAACCTCCAACTCTTCCCCTTTTTTTTACCCTTAGTCTTTTAGGAACCATTGAGGTTTCTTTATGCTCAGTTTGAAAAACCTAGTTCCAAGGTAGTAGCTGACTGTCCTCTAAAGAAAAAAATATGTGATATCAGTTTCTAAAAACTATTGGTATTGAGTGTTTCCTGTCTTCTTGGTTTGTGTTTTCCTTTGCTTTTGACCAGGAGAGCTATAGCCTTCCCTGTATGGGGTTTTTTCTCCCCTGTTCTTTGGTGTTTTTTTCATTTTTCTTCCTGTACTGGAGAAATTCATTGATGCATTTCAGAGTTAGCAACTCTGTCCTCAAGTGGTCTAGGGGTTAAGATACGAGGCTACAAATCAGGAGACTGAATTCTAGACTCCCTGTTGGCATGTAAGTCATCTGGGTGACTTTGGGCTAATCACTTTCTCTCAGCCCAAATCACTGTAGGGGGTAGTTGTTGTTGTTGTTGTTGTTGTTGTTGTTGTTGTGGGAAAATAGGAGGAGGTATATTTGCTGCCTTAAGTTATTTATAAAAATTATAATAAATGATTTAAAAAAAATTTTAAAGTCCCTGCACTTTCTCCCCAGGAAGGAAATTAATTTATACTTGCAGTAGGCATAGTTTAGGTCCGTGATGGCAAACCTATGGCATGCATGCCCGAAGTGGCATGCAGAGCCACGTCGCCTGGCACACGCGGAGTCACCCATTCCTGTTCCAGGTTTCTGGCACACATGCACATGTGATGATCAGCTGGCCTTTTTGCATGCAGCACTGCTGAAAACTAGAAGAGCTGGTCTTCCATTTTCCTGCATGAGCATGCACACTGACCAGCTGATCATCATGTGCGCATGCGTGCCAAAAACCTGGAAGAGTAGCTGGCTGAAACTGGAACTTCAGTAGCTGAAACCGGAAGTTCATTTTCAGGCACATGCATACGCTCTGGGCAGCTCCTCTTCCAGGTTGCGGCCCAGGTGTGTGCGCACTCCCTTTTCAGCACTTGGTGCCGAAAAGGTTCACCATCACTGGTTTAGGTCCTTTTCAAGTGTATACACTTTGCAAGTCACAGTCCTTCAAATTACCTGAAGCTTTTTTTGCCATACCCCCTAACTAAACTTCTATGCAAATCTTCCTTGTTTATTTGCTATAGTCTCAGGTATCCACAAGCTGCCTCTCTGGGTGAACACTAGCTTGGACTGAAAAAAGGTGGAGAAGAAAGAGTGCCTGCCCATCGATCCTCTGTTTGTTCCAGTGAGTTGGGTTCTGGTGAAACTGGGTCTGTTGTGTGTCTTAGATAGATTAGCAAGAGGAATGCTCCTATCTTATATAGTTGGAAATCATCCAGAAAACAAATCAACATCACTCAGGAAACTATCAGCTATTAGCAGTCATAGAATCACCAAGAATTGGACATGATTGAATGGATAGCATCATCATCAGAAGCAGGGAATGTCAGTCTTTCCCCCTCTTGTTTCTCCTATCTCTTCTGCCTTTTCTACTTCCCTTGCCAAATTCTTGCTTGCTCTTCCTGGTCGTTTGCTCAGTTCTCTGCTTGTGCTCTGCCAAAATACTGCAGTTATGATTTCACCTCCTATTACAAAACTTGGATTAACTGTATTATGCAGGGAGGGAGGGAGGGAGGGAGGGAGGGAGGGAGGGAGGGAGAGAGAGAGAGAGAGAGAGAGAGAGAGAGAGAGAGAGAGAGAGAGAGAGAGGGAGAGAGAGAGAGAGAGAGAGAGAGAGAGAGAGAGAGAGAGAGAGAGAGAGAGATTTGGAAAACATCTTTGATAGATCCCAAATGACTTGCTGTTTCTAATTATAGTCACATAATATTATAAGAAGTCAGCATAAAGTTCCTCAGTACTGCTGTTTACAGAGTCATAAGCATCCCATGGGTTTTGCAACTGAAAACATAAATAATATTTGTAAGATGGCATTGAGGATGGCAAGGAATTTCAGGGTGAAGAATAGAAGCAATATTTGGAAATGAATATGTTGGCAGAAAGTTTTAACTCATGAATTATACATTTAATTAAGAAATGCTAAACTGCTAAATTTCAAAACTTCTGATTTACTGTGCTTTATTTGAAAAAAAATTAATTTCTATGCCACTCTTGCCACTGCTGGAGCATGATAGAGAGAGGTCCGCCATCAGATGTCAAATTCCAAGCAGCCATAAAGAAAATTGTGACAGAACGTGAGAAGCCACAAAAGAGAAAGGCAGCAAGTCACACAGATTAGAGCAGCAGGGAAATCAGGAAGCAGATGAAGTACCGGCACCTACAGGAAATAGCTATGTTGGGTGAGAAGGGGAGAAACCCCCAAAAAGTGTAAAGTGTAAAGGTTAGTTGATTGTCAAAACATCAGAATGTCAAAGTGCATAATCCCAAATAAATAAATAAATAAATCCAGGATCCATTCTAAAGGAAACATTGAATGGAATAGGTGTCAGTTCAATGGCTACTTTTGTAGTTCATGTCATACCAGTGCCAGTTTAATGTCCTTCTGGTTACAGCACCAATATGGTGATATGTTAACTCTAAACAGCATAGCAAAATTCAAGGCATCACTGATAATGCCTAAGAAAAAAAAAGTATAGTGAGATGGGGTTCACCAACCCTGGGCTATGAACTAGTAACACCACCGCTGCCACTACTGCCGGTCCGTGGAGCCACAAAGATTGGAGACTGAAGTAGTGAGTCACTCAGCAGTGAGATGGGTGGCATATTAAACAAACGAATGAATGAATGAATGAATGAATGAATGAATGAATGAATGAGAAAGCCTACATAAAATACCTACATATACTCATTTGGAAACAAAACAAGTTCCCCAAAATTGTTTGTTTATATCTTACACTAACCATAGGAATATCTGGAAACATTCACCATCTGAATGTTCCTCACCCCATGCAATGCTCTGACAATGTCAGCATCCATAGGAAATCTATTAACCTAAAAAAAAAGTGGCTCTGGGCATAGCTTTGAAGGTGCATTCGTTTCTGTGTGTACAAAGAACCATGATGAGACAGAGTTCTTGCTCATGTTGAAGTTAACACATATGCTTTCCTATCTGCAGGTGTCTACTGTACATACATGGGACTGTCTTGTGCACAGGGATTTCATCTGAGTGGTGAGGTTTATTGGGACTGTCCATGTTTGTCCTTTCTACATTGCATCTACTCTGCCAATGTCTTCTTTTCTACTCTGTTCCTATGTATTCATCACAGTCCCAGCAAAGGGAAACACACTTAAGTTGGTCTTAATTATATTGGTTTTAAACTAAGTTTCCCCCATATTCTGAAATCCTTCAAGGGCAGCCTCAAGGCACCCACAATCTGTTGAGGGTTTTGTTGTTGTTGTTGTTGTTGTTGTTGTTTGCTTTAGAAGCAAAATCTTTGAAGGAAATTGGGTGACTGTGGTGACTTGAAACAAAGAGGTAAGAGATGAAGGATACTATCAGCAGTGAGATCCATTTTATACCAATATAGTGATTAAGCGAGGGATGTGGTGGCTCAGTGGCTAAGACACTGAGCTTGTCGATCAAAAGGTTGGCAGTTCAGCGGTTCGAATCCCTAGTGCCACTTAACAGAGTGAGTTCCCATTACTTGTCCCAGCTTTTGCCAACCTAGCAATTTGAAAGCACGTAAAAAATACAAGTAAAAAAATAGGGACCACCTTTGGTGGGAAGGTAACAGCGCTCCATGCGCCTTTGGCGTTTAGTCATGCTGGCCACATGGCCACGGAGACATCTTTGGACAGCGCTGGGTCTTTGCCTTTGAAACGGAGAGTCGGGAACGACTCGCAAATGTGTGCAAGAGGAACCTTTACCTTTACCTAGTGACTAAGCAGTGAGAAAGGGCAAAAGATGATAACTTATTTTTGCTGAATGTTTGGATAGAGTTATCAAAGGACTGGGGAGGAAAAGACTTTGACAGAGATTGAGATCAGTTTAGACAATGAATCCACTATGGGATCTCTTAGACATATATTTTTAATTTTAAAGATAGAAACTTTTGAAGATAAAGTTATGGAGCTGTTTTGGAATTTCTTTTCAGTATTAATGAATGAATGAATGAATGAATGAATCAATCAATCAATCAATAAACTTCATTAGGGTCATTGTCCAATAAAAAAAGAATACACTTTTGAGAAAGGAAATAGAAGTTGTAATAAAACTAATTATGAAATGGATCTGACCAATATATTACTTAATTGTACATACTAAGCCACATTCAGAGAAATAAAATCACATTATTTAGAGAATAAAAACTGTAAATAGAATGAATATGGGTGGTCTGGAATCTGAGATGGAGAATTATTAGTGCACATCTTTATAATAAAAGCAATGTAACAAAACATGTCTTCACATTTTAATAATTTTTTCACCACACAGGCATTTTTTTTGTTTGAATTGAATATCCTGAAATTTCCCTTTAAGAGCATTTTTTTGGAAAGACATTAAATGTTGGACTGTTCTGAATTTAGAAACTGTACATTGGCTTAACTATCTCCCTGGCTTGAAAACCAGGAAAACAGCTAGCCATGAATCCAGGTTTAGACAAAGCAGCCAGATCTAATCAGCTCTCCTGATTCATGGCATGCTGTTTAAGGGCTGCCAAGGGGCACCCATTTCCCATCCTCAGAATTGCATCATGTGAGAAATGATAGTGTTTTGGTTTCTTCTGCAGAGTCCTAGTCCAGGACAAGACAAAACAATCAGTTAAAAACAGGGAACAAACCCAAGGGGAAAATTAGAAGCTTTAGCCAGTACAAGAAAATGCATGTCCAACAATGACTCACAGTTTTAGTCATGCTGGCATTAAGTATTAACCATGCACACTGTTTTCTGCATGGAGTTTTTACTGCGTCTCCTCATGCCAAAGCTCTTGCTGATAAACTTGGAAACATACTTGGTATCTTTCCTCATTTACATAACACAAACTGTCTACCTCCGCACTCCTCACTCCTCAGCCATAGCCTGGATTTTGCTTTGTTTTGTTTTGTTGTTTTGGTGTGCCTTTCAGTCAATCATTACTCATGGCAACCAGATGAAGAAGTTTCCTTGCAAGAATTTTGGAAGTGGTTTGACATTGCCTCTTTCTTTGGGTTGATAAGGGAATAGAGTAGAATAGTGTAGTGTAGTGTAGTGTAGTGTAGTGTAGTGTAGTGTAGTGTAGTGTAGTGTAGAGTAGAGTAGAGTAGAGTAGAGTAGAGTAGAGTAGAGTAGAGTAGAGTAGAACAGAACAGAACAGAACAGAACAGAACTGGAAGGGTGATTTGCCCAAAGTCACCTAGATGGATTTTGTGCCTAAGACAGGAACAGAACTCATGGTCCTTTCAGCTCCCAGTCCAGTGCCATTACATGAAAGTGATTCTTCTTATGTTGCTATACTTATACCTGAGGCAGCTTCAAGTGACATTTGACTATAAAATGGACTTTTCTTTTTAATCAGGCAACAAGCCACAACAGTTGTTCTCTGGGTGCAACCTCCATGAGCTTTGGTCAATATTACAGTAAGGTGATCTCTCAGTGCTGGGGTCAGACCAGCACTTATTGGCCACTATAGGCTGGTATAAATGTATCACCCTTGCTCTGCAGACTGTGTACTACCCACCAGAGCCATTCTTCTTGGGTAGTGGGAGAGTCCATTTTTGAAACCAGGTTTTTCTCATATCCATGAGCAACTGCCCATGTAGCAACTGACTAAGTGTGGCAGTGAGAGGCTATGGGTGAAATTTGGAAAGAAAAGGCTAGTATTCATTATGCCTTTTCTTGGTTCAATCTCCTTCTATGATTGTTAGCTGTTGCTTGAACATGAGTTTACTTCTTCTCCCAAGAGTAAAAACCCATGTTTAAGAACAGGTGTGTCAAACTCGAATTCATTGAGGGCCGCATCAGGATTGTGTTTGACCTCAGCAGGGGGCCACTCAGGGCCTGAGTGCTCTGCCAGTTGAAAATGGGTTCCCGAGCTCCATTTTCACCTGTGATGGCCTCCTGTAACCCTCTGCCAGCGAAAACAGAGCTTGAGAGGGCAGCCTGTGGCCCTCACAAGCTCCATCTTTGCTTGCAGAGGCAGCACAGGCCGGTCCTTTGCTGTTTCCAAGGTGGCCCCATGGGCCATATCTAAGCACCCCATGGGCCAGATCCAAGCCCCGGGCCTTGAGTTTGACATCCCTGTTTAAGAACAACCTTCCTAAATAGTTACCAGGCATAGATGGATTGTGAAATTGAAGGTTGTGGGAAATATCAAGCTGTATAGGCAATGAGCTATCCAGAAATTTTGTTTATTGCACCTTAAACATGGAAAATCAGTGGGTGACTTTGAGCTAGTTGAGTTATTACCACTCAGTACAAGCTTGTATTTATAGGAAAATTGAAGCAATGAGGGCTATGTGCAATTTCTTGAGCTGTTAGAGAAAAGGTAGGATAGAAATCAATCAAATAAATATACTGGTTGAGTTTTAAGGGTTTGCTTTGCTGACAACTTGTACTAATTTCTTAATCCAAGTCAAGAGTGAGAAAGATTGCCATCTTCAGATGCCACTTTCCTTTTTATCTTTGAATCATTAAAATAAATCACTCCTGGCTTTCCAAAGACAAAATTTAAAATAAATTAATAGAGTTAGGACAAGAGAAGCTTGCTTCTCCTTAAACCTAATTTTAAAATAGTTGTTATTTATAATTATCAATGAACTTTGGAAAGCATGTCAGTCTGTCTTATATTATCACATTATTTTGATGATTCCCAGGATCTTGACTAAACAAGGAACTTAAGAAGTAAAACAGTGAAGATCAAAACACAGATCTTTCTTTTTGTCTGCTGTCAGTCTGATCCCAACATTGGCGCATAGGACTGAGCCTGTTACTGGATCACATGCAGTCTGAAGTGTGAAAATTTATGCAGGAATTGCTTTCAAGTTGACAGCAAGGATTGTGATCTATGATGGCTGAAAGGTTACAAGTTGAATTCCAAAGCATCGAAATCTTTGTGATTTAGCATAGCAATCCCCAACCTTTCCAGATTTGTGGACCAGTGGGGGAGGGAGGGAGAGGGAATGATTATGCGCGAGTGGTGGGAGAGCATGAGTGGGTGTGAGTGGCAGGCAAGTGTGAGCAGCTTCATTTGCACAAGCAGAGGGCACATGCGCCTGCCACTTGCACAAATGGAGCTGAGTGCAAACATGTGCCCATCTGCTACTCACACAAGTGGAGCTATGCACACACATTGTCTCACCCACTGCTTCTGCAGCCCAGTTCCGAATTGGCTAAGGTTCAGTAAATGCTAATGACTCTATTTGTTCATTCTGTACCCTTCTTATCATAACTGACAAAGTAATAGTTTTATAGTGATAGTTTTTTAAATTTTATATTAGACCATTTCAGGGGTGCTATTCAGCAGGTTCTGCCAGGTTCTGGAGAACCGGTAGATAAAATTTTGAGGAGAACCAGCAAATACCACCTCTGGCTGGCCCCAAAGTGGGGTGGGAATGGAGATTTTGCAGTAACCTTCCCCTGGAGTGGGGTGGGAATGGAGATTTTGCAGTATCCTTCCCCTGCCACACCCACCAAAAACCGGTAGTAAAAAAAAATTGAACTCTACCACTGAACCATTTGGTATATTGATTTTTGAATAGGCTCCATTCTATTGTAATCACAGCAGGATAACAAATGAAGGAAAAGGATGTCTGCATCAAAAACACATAAAACATTATATCCAATATTTGCTAATATGCATTATTTCATTTAATCAAAATCAAAGCAAAGGTAGTCAATAAATTAAAAATATTTCATGTTCTAAACATGTTAACTCTCCTAATTTTATTAGGAAAATACATGCAATAAGAATTTGATATTTTCCAGATTTATCATTCGCTTGGATTTTCAACAATAATCCCTTATATGTTCAGGAAGATGATCATCGGTTTGTCTCTCAAGAAACAGGAAATCTATATATTGCCAAAGTGGAAGCATCTGATGTGGGTATCTACACTTGTGTAGTATCAAACAGAGAAATAAAACAAAGTGTTCAGGGGCCAGTGACACCACTTGTGCTTCGGAGTGATGGTAAGTTTTGGTTACTTTTTTTAAAAAATATAATCCTAATGTATTTACATTAATTCTGAAATGGCACCCAATCTCTGCAGAAAAGTATATAGATTTGCACTACCCATTTGATTTAAGGATTCTTTGGTCAGACATGAAGAATCAACACTACATCCTGAGATACAGTTAAGTGGATTTTATTGCTCATGCCTATACATAAGAATCTAGTCAACTGATCTGTCCCCATACCCCCCCCACACACACAGCCAGTCGAGGGTTAAGGAAACACTTTGGAACGCACCCAGTTCTTATCTCCCACTTGGCAGCGATAGACACACCGTCTGCCAAGTGACTTTATTTTCAAAGTAAAACAGAAAGACAAATACTCAAGAGTCCAAATGTCCGACACTTTAAATCTTTCTCTCAGCAGCTCCGGACGAGGCTTTAGTGACTATCCAAGGTTTGCTTTGTTCGTCACAAAAATCCTTGACCACCACCCTGTATTATATAGTCTCTGGGGTGCGGTCCAGTGACTCAGTTCTAATCCCTAGCACACCTCCTAAACTGCTGCAAACGTTTATCACGCCTTCGGAGGCGTGCGTCCAGGAATGATGTTTCTTTATCACTCTGATCCGAATCAGCTGTCTCCTCTCCCTCGGCCGGCACTTGAGACAATGCCAGAGGGGAGGGGCCTGGAGAGGGAGGCCTGGCTGACTCCTCTTCCTCATGCTCGGAGCTTTCTTCCTCCGATGGGACAGGCTCAGAGGGCTGGGCCACAACATCAACTAATGGTCAGCATTAGGTAAGAGTTAATGGAATTCAAGAGGGGTTGAGTTAGACCACTTTTGGGAATGCAATGACTCCAGGATGATTCCTGTCTTGACTCTCTACTAACCCTTATCCTCCCACCCCAGGTTCTTCCTCTCCTTCTCCTACATCTTTAAGTCTTTGCCTCATATCTGATTTTTGTTGATAAAATGAAGGAATTGAGGAATGTGTAAAGGAGGATATTGTCACCCCTTTAAATTAGACTAGACAAGAAGCCCAAACCATGAGTATTAAACCTACCATTACTGTAAGGCTAAAGTAACAAAATCTTTCAAGTCTGAAAGCACTTTGCTCCTCTCTCTGCACTTACTTTTACTTTCTAGAAAACCAGACATGGGCCCCTCTGAGATGCTTTCCATGCCCTCTTTTCCTCTGTGAGCTGAGATACCTTTTGTATGATAGTTGTCAAGGTTGCAGTTCTTCCTCCTGTCTCCCAAGGTCATTCTCACATCCCATTACAGATATCTGTATGGTAGATGAATACACTTCACAACTGACTTCAGATTGTATGGTGCCATTTGTTCTTCGGAATAAATTTGTAAGTCTCTTGGGAGAAGATGCCAAAAATCCTTCATTAAAGAGTTAGACTATGAAGTGATCCAATTTAATGAAAGTTTGACTGGATCACTCCATTGATTGATTGATTGATTGATTGATTAAATTTATATGCTGCCCCTCTCTGGAGACTCCGGAGACTCAGGGCGGATTTCCCTGTTTCAAAAAATATAAGCGATGCAGCTACATGACTCTGCCTTACCTTGCTTGCTTCCCCTCTTCTGATGATCTGATGTCTCCTCCAGTGATTTCCATAGCCTCCAATAATTCCAAGAAGATATGCAGAACCTTCCTCCACCTGTTAGAACTACTGGTCAAGGCTTCAAGTTTTGTCAAACGACTACTGAAGTAAACCCCTTTGCTTTGATAAGGAATATTGTGTTGCCTCTGTGATGCAATGTGCCTCATCAAGGGGAATGCCAACTCAGATTTATTAAACTGCTAGTCCCTATCTTGAGGTAAAAATGTTGTTGTTGTTGTCTTCACTACTGCTATTGCAATCCAATAACCAATAAAAAGAATAGGTTCTCTGGATAGTTCACAGTTGATCAAAACAGTAAACAGTAAAACAGTGGAAATACATATCTGATAGTATAGGATAAGAGAGGGAGATACAGTAGTGGGCAAAATTGTGGAAACCTTTTGGGAAAAGTATATTTTCTAAAACTAGCTAATACCACTTTTTTTTTGGAGTAGTACCATAAAATTATATATCAATAGAAAGATAATTTAATCAAGAATGTAATGCAATAACTTTTATGAAGGATTTCCTATTACAATAGCAGTTACAAATTATCAGCATAGAAAAAATGAGATATACGAAAATGATCACCATACTTATTTGAGTAACCTTTAGCATGAATTATGGCCTTACAACGTCTTCCCACAGAATGAACCAAGTCTTTTAGTTCTGCAGATGTTATAATGTGAAACCAAGATTGAATGATTGCTTCTATTAACTGGGTTTTATTGGTGGGTCACTTCTGTCTAACAAGTTTCTTTAGTTGGCTCCATAGATTTTCAATTGGGTTAAGGTGTGGGATATTCCCAGGCCATTCCAGCAGTGGAATATGATTATTTTGAACCTCCCCCCCCAAAAAAGTGGTGTTATTAGCCATCAAACCTCAAAAATTTTGGCCACTACTGTATAGAAAGAAACAGAGACAAAAACAGATAATTTAGAGAAAAGAGATAATTTACCATAAGGGGCACTTAAAATCGAAACTATATTCTCCCTCTCTCCCTCCCTCGCTCACTCTCTTTCTCTCATCTCTCTATCCATCTACTTCAGGTGAAGAGCAAAGCCTTAGTTTAGATGGAAGGATCAAGATTAGTACCATGCTTATCTTATAGGGAGGGCATTCCAAAGGGAGAGACTTGAGAACTAAAAGTTCTGCGCTCTCATAAGTCCCCATCTAATGTTACTTGGAGATGATATCCAGAGTGTCTAGGGAAGTCCAATTGTTAGAAGCCATTGGGATATTTCTGTAGATATGGCTCCAAGACATCAGTTTAAACTACTGCATCCCTGAATGGCTAACAGTCAATGCCACCAACAAAAGACTAGGGTGATTTAACTATACCCTAGATAGCAGCCTGGAAACACTCTGCTCTCGTGTTTAAGCTTTCATTCCACATAAAAGCATGACTTTAAAAAGCCACATAACCAAATTCATTGCAATGAAAAAGAACAGACTAAATGAAATCTTAATTCTTATATTAACTGCATTCTTTCAAGAATCTTCAAATTTAGATGTAACAAGCATTTGTTGTTCAAATGTAAGATGCATCAAACTAGATCTAATCCAGTTTAGGCACTGAAGCGAGTAGCCTCCTTTCGGGGGGTGGGGGTGGAAAAATCCCTTTTTTAATTAAATGTTCACAATCGAAAATGCATCGTTCAAAAATTCATTAACAAATGAGATTGCTTCCTCCAAGTCATGGATCTAACTAGAGTACACTAAATGCTCCAATGAAATAGCGACAAAGATTCAGAGCATGTCATACTCATACCAGAAAAATAAAATAACAGCGAGTTTGGGATGATTGCTATATCCAGAATGAGATATGTAAGTGAGGAATAATGTGGGATCCTTTAAATTAGACATTATATTGTTATAGGGATAATATTCATATAGCATCTCCAGCCTCAATATTCATTTACTTGCTTTCCTCCAATAGATATTTGTTTAGGTAATAGCAGATGTCTGTAACACTTGCTCCCTAGTGGCCAAATCATTTATGTAAGTAGCGAGTCATCAGTACAATCCCTACACTTACTTATTCCACAGTGCCTTTTACCACTCACCCCCTATGTAGGGGTCTCTCTCTCCCCCTCATTAGGCCACTGCACGGCCCGTAGACTTCATATCTTCTGTATGAAGATATGAACTTGTCTTTTTTGGCAGCCAGATTTCGTATGTTGTTCTTATGTAATGTAATAAAAAAAGGCAGTGCAAATAAAACAGTTGTGTTTTCAGCAGCATTAACAAGAAAATTATCATCTCTTTCATTGGGAAGAATAGGTGTATCTTTAACATCAGACAGGAGACTTGGGACTATGGATATACCACTTACTTAGAGGAAAGAGAAACGTTTGGGATATGTAGTCCTGACTATATGTTTCTTTTTGGTGCTTTGGCCAGAACAATGAAGAAATTCCTATTTGCATGCTTTCATTAGCCCCTTTTATGATGACAACCCATTTTTCTATGAAATGTCTTAGTCCACTCTTGGATTGGGTTTTGGAAATCAATTGTAAAATTCATTATAAAGGTGATAAACACTGGATTGGGCAATCAATTTGTAAATTTAATTTAACGTAAGCTATTGTACTTCATGAAAACTCATTTGCTAATAGATGGGGGACAGGTAATAAATTTATTTTACAGCGAGGAGGAGGAAATAAATTTATTAGTAGAATTATGAACCGAATGGATGCTAGGAAGAAATCTAATTATTTTAAAGGTCTATACCTGCTTTGATGAATAACTGTACATCATTTAATTAGTTAAAATTGACATTAAGTATATTTGACTTGGTTGTGTCCCATTTTGGGAATGGCTTTGTCCTAATGGCACCCATTTCAATACAGTGTCCCTGACAGTTGCTTAACATTCTAATAATCATAAATAAATTTGTTTCATCCTTAATAGACTATGTACTGTACCTCTGACTATATCAGCTTGAATTCATACTACAAATCAGCTTTCTCCTAATTCCTAACCCAGGGATGTCAAACTTGCATCGTCACAGCATCATCACATGATGTATCGCAACTTTTTCCCCCTTCACTAAAATGGGCATGGGTGTGGCCAACGCATTGCGCATCTGGCCCGCGGGCTGTGAGTTTGACAGCCCTGTCCTAACCATTTGCTCTCCAAATATGTTTCTATACCAGGCTTATTGTTTCACTTCACTTCCTGTAAATACCAATTGGTATATTTAACTCTGACTTCTTTCAAAATTAAGACAGAAAAGCACTCAGCAGGGTATTTTTTATTGAGTGTTTTTTTCTATTCTGATTGATTGGCAAGAGTTTAGGACTCAATTTATTTAGCTATATATAATATTTTATGAATTGGAACAGAATGCATTGTGTGTTCTGGTAATTGCCAAGGCTTGACCTCATTTGATAATCCGGATCAAGAGGTCAAGGGGAGCTCACCACTGAGAGTGGATTTGTGGGATTCATATTAGTCATTGTACTAAAGATGAAGTTCTCCATAGTGGCTCATTCTTGGTTTCACTGGAAGATACTTGTTAGTTTCCATGGGAACAAATTAGTCCACAGGTTGTTGTTGTTTTTTATGCTGCTATTTTGTAGTAGTAGGTTTGAAGCACAACTCAACTAAGCTATTTTGGTATTCAGCAGGTGTGATGGGGGAATATGAGCCAAAAATTGAAGTGCGTTTTCCAGAGACTATACGGGCAGCAAAAGGCACATCCGTTCGGCTGGAATGTTTTGCCCTTGGAAAGTAAGGATTTTCATCTTTTCTTTATTTGGGGAGGAGGAGTTATAAAGTAAAGGTATTGCTCAAACACTTGACTAAATAGCACATTGGATTTGGCTGCTGATACAAGATCACAAAAAGTGTTTTATTTAAGGTTTTCGTATGATTTGACCTTATCAAAGTTGAGTGTAAAAAGTAAAAAAAAAAAAAAAGGTGAATGAACTCCTCATTCATTTATTCATTTCACATTTTAATACAAACTTCCCAAATTGACAGTTATCAAACTGATATGCAAACTAAAATGCAATTGACTTTCACAGATTCAACGTCCTCCCCCACCTCCACATCCCACTCCAAATAACAATGTATTGTATTATGGGATTCAATGGGCCTGTATTATACTTGTATTGTTAAAAACTATAAAGTATTACACAATATCCCCAGATGCTTCAAAAATGCATTAGGGAAAGTTCACGACCATTATTATAGAAGTTATATTGCAGTAAAAAAAAAAAAAACACATACTAATGTTCTGTAAATATTTCAAAAAAAAGTAGTGCAAATAACATGAAGCAATCTACCATATTTTTTGGAGTATAAGACGCACCTCCCCCCCCCCAAAAGGCTGAAAATTTGGGTGCATCTTATACTCCGAATATAGCTTTTTTTGAAGCTTTTTTTTCAGCCCTAACGAGGTGCTAACAAGGCACTAGCAAGCGATCTTTCCAGCTTTGCCTGCTCCCTCGACTCTCTGCTGTGCTTTAACAAGGCACTAGTGAAGTGATCTCCATGCTTTGCTCCAACTCTCAGTTGTTCTTTAGAAGCTTTTTTTTAGCCCTAACTAGGTGCTAGCCGAGTGAAGCAATCTCCCCCCCCCTTTGCCTGCTTTTCTCATTGCTGCTTCTCTCAGCTATGCCTTAGAAGCTGTTTTTTATCCCAAGGCAGGGGATTAAAAAATCAGCAAACTAATGTGCTGAAGGTGGCCAGACTAAGGATGCTAGCCAGATGAGTACCTGGTAGGCAGATTTCCCCCCCCTATTTTCCTCCCCAAAAATTAGTTGCATCTTATACTCTGGTGAGTCTTATACTCCGAAAAATATGGTAGTTTACACTTTGCTTATCTCTTTAGTTGCTTTCAGGCTGTATATTTCAAATTAAATTCCAAACAAGTATTTTTATTTAAGGATTGACTAAACTGATATGTTTTCTGATAACCAAGCCTAATGAATGTAAGCATACATACCTTCGCACATACTTCCTAACTATAAGAGGTATTTCAATAACTCAATAGCACTGGCAATAGCACTGAAATTTATATACCATTTCACAGTGTTTTACAGCCCTCTCTAAGTGGTTAAGAGAGTCAGTATATTGCTCCCAACAATCTGGGTCTCCATTTTACCAACCTCGGAAGGATGGAAGGCTGATTCAACCTTGAGCCAATCAGGATTGAACTTCTGGCAGTCAGCAGAATTAGCCTGTTGTACTGCATTCTAACCATTGTGCCACCATGACTATACAATCATTTGCATTTTTCAGACTTCAGTTTATGTAAAGCTGATTATTTTTTTCCCCACTTAATTATGTGTAAAACATATTTTTATATATGAGTGCATAGACTTCTTTGAAAGGATTTATTCCACGTAAGTGTAACACATACGATTCATCAGATAAAAATATTAAAATTCCTCATCATATACTTGCTTTTAAACAGTGTATGTTTTACTTAATAACAAATGACAAAATCCTGTTGGTATCAAAGAGATACCAAAGTTGACATGTCTCTGTTTCTATGGCAGGTGGGCTATAGGTTCTGTAATTTTCTACAGAGGGAGTAACTATTAGGGGTCCTTGGTGCTCTCTGAGCTGATTGCTTTCTTGCAGTCGTTTCATTACCCAGACTAGGTAACATCATTAGTGCTAGTAAGGAGTGGGATTTGCTCTCAGTTTATGTTCCAGTGGTTTGCCCTGCGTGTTCATTGATTGGGCTCTTTACGGTTGGCTTGCTTGGCAGTTCCTTGATTGAGCTATTGTTTATTGGGTTGTTAGTCTGATATTAATCTTGGAGTAAATCTATATTCATCTGGGTGCTAATTGCTGGTGGGGAGGTGTTTTGGGTTTTTTATTCACTTTTTTGGTACCCCACTAACGGCAATCATCAGCCAGATGAGCATAGATTAACTCCAAGATTAAATCAGACCAACACTCAAGTAAACAATATCCCAGGCTAGGAATTGCCAAACAAGCTTATAGTAAACAGTCCAACCAAAGAACTTCTAAGGCAGTGGTGAAATCTATTTTTTTTTACTACCGGTTCTGTGGTCATGGTTTGGTGGGTGTGGTGTGGCTTGGTGGGCGTGGCTTGGTGGGTGTCGCAGGGAAGGATACTGCAAAATTTCCATTCCTACCCTACTCCAGGGGAAGGATACTGCAAAATCCCCATTCCTTCCCCACTCCTGGGAGAAGGATATTGCAAAATCTCCATTCCCACCCCACTCTGGGGCCAGCCAGAGGTGGTATTTGCCGGTTCTCCGAACTGCTCAAAATTTCTGCTACCGGTTCTCCAGAACCTGTCAGAACCTGCTGGATTTCACTCCTGTTCTAAGGCCACCCCAGGGCAAGCCACTAGGCTGAGAGCAAATTGTACTCCTTACAAGCACTGATGATGTTTGAGTAATGTAATATCTACAAGAAAACAACCAAGCTCAGAGCGTATTAAGGACTCCTGATTTCAACCATGAGCTACAAATATTATAATATTTATTAGTAACTATTAAATAAGTATGTTTATACTTGATGTCATTATAAGCATAACTAATTTGCCCAGCTTTTCTATAGTAAGTCCTCAGTGCTGACATCCAGTATATACAGCTTTGAACATAACTTCCCAGTTTTCCTCTAATCTACCCATTTAAAAGAAAAATGGACTCAGTGTCTTTGTTTTCTTCCTTCTAGGGAGACAGAGCATTTTCTATTTCCTTTTATTTCCCAATCATTATTTAACAGGTACTGACAATATGGTTAGATTGATGCCAGCAATACCTTAAACATAGACAGCCATCTCTGGCACTGAAAAATACCTCTCAATTCTATATTGGACTTATAGAACACCCCCAATAACAGCATGTAATGAAAAAGAGAGCTCACTGAAGAAAACTAAGATATCTTACCAAAATTCTCCTTAAAAGTTCTTCTTAAAACTGTGACCAGTGCCAACAATGTAGGTTCACCAACTAAACTGATTCTCTAATGAAATAAAGAGCTGCAGATTAGCTAGTGACTAGGTTTCTATAGTTCCATAAAGCCCCTATCTTCTTCCAATGAGAAGTTGCTAGTCAGTTAATAGTTGCCTATTCTCAGAATGGTAAGAAATGACAGAAACAGGTTTACTGAGACAGCCAATAAATCAAGGCTTCCGCCCCAAACTTAGGCAAAAAGCCCAAGGCCTCTCGTAGAATAGTTGCTGGAGCAGCTATACTATGCTTTACTTTTCAATGCTTTTTTTTTTTGTCTAATTCATTGGTTTTCTGGTTTGTTTTTTATTTGTTTGTGTGCTGGTTATTGATTGCTAGCTTTTGTATGTAATTAGAACTCTTATATCAGTGTTTTTTAAAATTCTACAACAATTCACTTGGTTCCCTTTTATTAAAATTAAAACCCATTATTCATTGTAACTCTGGTGTTAGAACTGTTCTAGCACCACACATCGTAAAACTGCCTAAGGCTGGTCATTTTGTTTAAAGGAAAAACTGGATAGATTTGTTTAAAGGCTTAGTCCTGGAGAATGGACTTTTCCTGTAAGCTGATTACTCCAAAATGTAAGATAAGTAAATGAGTACCTCTCTTTAAAAAAAATTAAATTATTAAGTTATAGGATATTATAAAATACAAAAGTAAATAGAAGAGCAGTGATGTGGGAGGGGGAAGGGGGAAGAGGTGAGGAAAGATGGGGGGGGGGGAAAAGAAGCATTGACTTCCAACTCTCTCTGTTACAGTTAAATAAGGCATTAACATCAAATCACAGCTTTTTGCTTTTCCATAATAGTATGAACAAGTCATTTCTATAAAGATCTGTCAATCTAATCTGTAAAAACCCAAAGTCAGAGTTTCCTTCTTTTCCACATCAACCACAAAGTTCAGAAGCGGTTTCCATGTGGAAACAAAAGTACTTATGTTCTTTTCTTTAATCAAAGTTGTCAGTTTTGCCATTTCAGCCAACTCCATCAACTTCTGCAACCATTCGTCCATGCTAGGAATCAAAGTGTCCTTCCATTTTTGTTCATACAATAGTCTTGCTGCTGTCAACTTATATAATAACAAAGTTCCATTTTTTTTTCTCCAGTTCTCTTTCCATTAGACCCAAAAGGAAAAGTTCTGGTTTCATTTTTATCTCCATTTTCAGAATTTTCTGTATTAAAATATAAATCATACTGCAATTTTTTTTTGCTTTATCACATGTTCACCATAGATGATAAAAAGCCCCTTCTTTATTTTTACACTTCTAACATTTATTTGACATGCGTTTATACATCTTAGATAACTTATCTGGTGTCGAATACCAATGATACATCATCTTATAGTAATTTTTTTTTAGATTATAATTTAATGTAAATTTTAAACCCTTCATCCACATAGTTTCCCATTCTTCAGGCATCACATTATATCCAAAATTCCTTGCCCACTGAATCATGTTCATTTTCCAAGTTCAATTTCAATAACATTTTATACTGTAAATCTTAAATGAGTATCTCTCAAGTCAAATACAAGTGGCAAGAGGAGAACCCAAAGGAAGAAAAAAGAAGTTTATAGTTAGGCCAATAGATAAAAGTGACTTTTATCTTTAAGCCATGGTGGCACAATGGTTAGAGTGCAGTACTGCAAGCTACTTCTGCTGACTGCCGGCTGCCTGCAATTTAGCAGTTCAAATCTCACCAGGCTCAAGGTTGACTCAGCCTTCCATCCTTCCAAGGTTGGTAAAATGAGGATCCAAATTGTTGGAGGCAATATGCTGACTCTGTAAACTG